GACTGTAATGATAGAAATTAAGTTACACTGATTGTTGAAGAAAAAAGTTTAGATTTTAATAAAAAAGATGATGATGATGTTGTTATAGGTGTTGGAAAGGGTGAAACTACAATAGTGAAAAGCTATGGTGATGGTGTTAAAGTAATTGATGGTGTTAGTATGGTTATTGGAGAGGTGCAACTATAGTTATTGATGTTAATATCAGAAGTTGTGTTGTTGATTTCAAATGGATGTTAGTGATTCTAATGAAGATGCGTGTGTTGTTGGTTTGGGTGTTGGTATGCATATTGATATGGGTAGTTTATATTATAATTTAGGACATCATAGGGCTAGATTTAGTAAAGAGGATGATATTGGATGTGAAAAAGATTATCAAGGTAATGATTTTAGTAAAAATGTTGAGGATTATATTTTCTTAGATGATAAATTATTTAAATTCTTAAATGCAAATAAAGATGAATAAATTGATACCTTGCAAGAAGATATTTGCTTTAGCCAAACATTCGAGTTAAAAAGTGATGAGGAAAATATTGATGTTAAAGCTAGTGAAAATTATTATAGTAGTAATGAAAATGACAATGATGAAAATGGTAGTGATGGAAAGAAGCAACCAAAAAAAAAATTATTTATCTTACAAATAGATTTAAGTATAAAACATTTAAAGTGAGTGGTGATGGATTAATTAAATTTACCAAATGCAAAATTTTCATTAATATCATTCACTTCATAAATGTTCTTAAAGAATATAAAGTGAAATATGACTATTATAAGAAAAGATACATTAATTAGAAGGAGATCATAAGAAAAGATACATTAATTAGAAGGAGAATATTAGAGCTACATGCATGGGTGACGATTATGTGTGGTGAATATATGCTTTTTCAATTTTTGGTAACAAGACTTTGCTTTGAGAAAGGAGAAACATAAGGATGATTCTAAATAGTACTATAGAATATATTTATATGATGGTTAAAAAAAGATTTATATTGATTTGGATTAAAAAAAATGCTCCTGTGGCGAATGAATGATGATTAAAATTTCATTAAAATATGTAATACCTTGTTTAAAACATAAGAGAATTGAAATTAAAGATTTCTAATATGTACTACCTTGTTTAAAACATAAAAGAATTGAAATTGAAGATTCCTAACATGTACTACCTTGTTTAAAACATAAAAGAATTGAAATTGAAGATTTCTATCATACATATTACACTATGGAAACAATTAAGAAGACATACCTTGAGATTATTTACCTATAGTACTATTTAGAATCATCCTTATGTTAGGGATTGGATTATGAACCAAAGGTTGTATTGGATTATTTACCTATAGTACTATTTACCTATAGTGTTATTTACCTATAAACCAAAGGTTGTATTGGATTATGAAGATGGAGATATAATTGTACTGCCCTCAAACCTAAAAAGAAGTGTGCATCAACCAATAAAGAATAAAAGAAAAGAAAGTGAAAAAAAAAAGACTTAGAAATGTCAAAAAAAAAGTTGTCATCCTCGAGTGTAATAATTACAAACAATATAAATATTATTTCAAGATATGCTATATAAACAATACCACCCAACTTAGTGACAATGGTGGTAAATTATCTAGAGGTGTGAGAGGATTTAGTGGTGATGTGAGGGATTTAGAGAATCTGGTGGTGTTATGGGAGAAATTAGGGATGCTACGAAAGGAACTAAAAGTGTTATACAAAAATTTATTAGTCACATCAAGGGATCCAAAGAAACAATCAATTTTTAGAGAATAAACAACACTATTGAAAAATGCTTAATAAGTTCCAAAAATAGCAAAACTAGTATAGATGACAGAAATGGTGTTAGTATATCATCCTCTCTATTCTTAGAGGATATATACAAATGATTCTCTAACATATTATTTATGATAATTCTATTAGTTTAATAATTTACTTTTATCCAATCAATTCTTTTTTTTTAATTGTATTTTGCTTGATTTACATTGCATTTTGCTCAATTTACATCCTCTTAATAATTTACATTTATCCAATCAATTCTTTTTTTTTTTAAATTGTATTTTGCTCAATTTACATCCTCTTATCATTCAACATAAATAAACTATTTTAAATGAAGAACATTACCTTGTTTATGATGTGTTTTATATGCCAAGCTATATTCAATTATGCAATAAGAGTAATATTATATTATTTATGTATTACTATTAATGACATTAATGACATGTTATAAGATGTTCAAGTTATGTTTTAGAACAATATTAATGCAATATTGTTATTTAAATTTATTTCATGTATTCATTTTATTTATTCAACATTAATATTATAATAATTATAAACATTAGAATTGCTCACAATAAATTAGTTACCATCATCAACTTAACTCTTGCAATGCTAAGCTCTATATTATTATAATTTTTTATTCAACTTTATGTAAATCATTTTTAATTCTCTTTATCATTCACGACCGTCTTATTTAAAAATTTTATCTTCTAGCCATTCATGGTAATTAATTACGTTTTGCAGGAAACATCTTGTCTAGTAACACAAACAATTTTTCATCCGTTAAGGAGTTATATTTATTACATAAGATAAAATAAATGTACTTAATTAGTTAAATGTTATAAACTTAACTTAATAAAGTAAACTGATTTTTTCATCTTATTTAAAAAATTGAGAGTTCAAGACAATAACACTTGTAAGAGATTGTGTTGATATATAAGTCATTAGAATAAAATTAATTGGTTGATTGTATATAAGTTATTTTTTTATCTATATAATAACTATTTTTTTATTAGTATAAATATGTAATATATGTGTAATTTAATTATCATTCATATTAATCAAACAAATTATATCATAAATTTTTATTTCTTTACTTGTATTATTACAAGTAAGAAAATTTAAATTAGTTTATAGTTTTATTATAGCTAATCATTCTCATGGTTAGTTTTCAAAAATATTTAACCTATTACTTGTCAAGAAATGAAGCGACAGATTTTGAAACAAATACCATCACAATTTGTGTAAGTTTTTTTTTATGATTAGTCTTCAAAAGAATTTAACTATTGTTTGGCAAGAAATGGAATGGTAGATTTTGAAACAAACACCATCTCAATTTGTGTTATTCTTTTTTATTTTCTACTTTTTAATAGAGTATCATGGTGTTCATTTGTCAGAAATGAAAAAGAGTTTTTCATTAAAAAAAAACTTATTTACATTAAAATATATATTTTTAATAATAAAATGAAACAACAATTTTATGATAATAACTTCAATGTATTTTTGGTACTTAAGATGATTTTAGTAAAATTTAAAATTTGTATAAAAATAAATTGTATATCATAAAAAAAAATACTGCTTATGAACTTATAAATATATATAGATAAATAACACAAATATATATATATATATATATATATATATATATATGTGTTAATTTTTTACAATCATATACATTGTGTGTGTGTGTGTGTGTGTGTGACACTATTTCTCATATACTAAAAGATTTGGGGTAATCCTAGGTGTTTCATTGTTTATATAGAAAATAAAGTATTTTAATTTTTAAACTTTTCTATTGAATAATCATTCTAGGACCTAATTTGATAAAAATAGGCTTGAAATTATTTTTACATACCAAATTTTAAAAAATAATATCTAAAATGTTAAACACACAAAAAAAATTCATATAATCCCAAATTCTTAATAATTTTTATTTTAATTTAAAAAATTATTTTTTTATTTTTTAGTTATTGGTTTTGAGGGAAGAGAAAGAAATTCATTTAAAAATGACACAGGAAGACAAATTTGTTAGTTTAGTCATTTTTTAGTGATGAAACTCGTTATTTTTTGTGTTAATGAATTCTATTTAATGAGAAAATTTTAATAACGATATTTTTTTTGCTTATCTAATTATCCCTAAAAAGAGAGATCAAGTTCACTTTATATTTTTATTATTGAGCTAATTTTGATTATTTTTTTGAATGATTCTAGGATATACTAAGATTATTGGTTGGTTCATTTTTGAATGATTTTAGGATATACTAAGATTATTGGTTGGTTCATAAAGAGTTTAAGGTGGTTTTGAGATTTTTTTGAATGAAAATAACTTGAAATATAAAATTTATATATTTAAAGAATTCTTTTTTAATATTTTAACCACCACAATGGTGATTAACATCTTAAGCCAGAGTCTAGTGTGCAATACATTGCTTAGTTGTTTCTTGTTTATAAAAAAAGGATGGAAAACAGGTCATGCATCCTTAAAAATAAAATAAATAAGTTAGCCTACATGTGTGGGCTCTTATTTTTATCCTTTTGATTTTTTATTTTTTTTTAAAAAAATTTTAGTTCTTATTAAATTTTTTTATTTTTTATTTTATCCTTCATTTTTTTTTATTTGATGATGATTTGAAGATGATGATAATAATGATAATAACAGTTTTTTTAGTTTTTAATTCAAAAAATCAGTTTTGGGCTCTCATTTTTATCCTTTTGATCTTTTGATTTTTTTTTAAATTTGTTTTAGTTCTTATTAAATTTTTTTATTTTTTATTTTATCCTTCAATTTTTTTATTATTTGATGATGATGACGATTATGATAACAAATTTTTTAGTTTTTAATTCAAAAAATCAGTTCAACTTGCTTTATTTATAACAAAAAATAGACATGAGTTATGTTTTTGCACCTCCTAGAAAAACATTAGCTAGCCCACGTGTTTGGACTCTTAGTTTTGGATTTTTTTTAATTATTTTATTTTTTAATATCAAGTTTTTATTGATTTTTTTTTAATTTTATTATTTAATAGTTGTTATTTAAAGATTTTTTTTTTTTTAAAATCAAAACAAAGGTTACCTTACCTAGTCCATGGGCTAAACTACCTAAGCAACAACCCAATACCTTGGCTGGGTTAGAAATGGAGATAATAGAGTTGTAACGGGACTATATCTTCTGGCCCATCAAGCTTAAGAAACCATTTAGTTCACGTTTCCACTTTCCACTCGTTATCTTTCCCTCTGACGCTGTAGTCCTCGGAATATCTCTCTTCACTCTTCTATCTCGGAGATTGTATGTCGGTAATCGGTCCAAGGTTCCTGGATTCATTGGTAGTATCGGTCCAAGGTTCCTGGATTCATTGGTAAATCTTCATTTGAATGTGTTGGGGATAGAAACAGAAGCAAAATAATTCACTTTCCAACTGCTTTCTTCAAGAAACATAAGGTAAATCACCCATTTTTCTGATCTATTATTTTTCTCTATTCAAGCTCTTGTTTTGGTCCTTCTCTAACTTTGATGAATCAATTACTGTAAAGTTTTTTAAATTTTTTTTATTATATAATTTTAATGTGAACCCATTTGCATGTTGCCAAAATACATGATCCAATCATCGAAGAAAACCTGTTTCTTTTTTGATGTTTATTGTTAACTAAAGAATGAAGTATTAGCCTCTTACTTGTATTTGCCCCTTGTTAGTTTGTAGCAAGTTTTGGGCTTTTTAATTCTTGATTATTTCTTATTAGATGGTAGATCAATATTGCGTTGGTTTCTTTCTGGTGTTTTCATGTCTTGTTGGAGCTTTAGATGCTAGTGCTGGCGATGCTGATCCCATTTACAAGTAGATTTTGAGCTTTCCTTCAATTCGTGTTTTACTACATGGGCATCTAGTTCTGTTTATTTGTGTTCTTCAGTAATGTTATTCATCATCCGTGCACCAATGTAATAAAAGGAACAAATCTAGCTCTTAGTATAATGCTACTACATGAATTGCCCAAATGGATATGTTGAGAAAGGAAGTTTTGAACCTGTAAATGTGATTTGCACCCTTAAATGTGTCTGTTTCTCTCACATTGGGACATCTATTGTGCACTAGAGAGTAGAGATATGGCAGGGCTCTTGTCCATGCTATTATATTCCTGTGCTTCCATCACTTTGGGTCGTATGCATTGAGAGATCATGTACAGATTAATTTTCATGGACAATTATGGATGCGCTGGACATTTAGAAATGGTCTTTCTCATCTTTTCCCACTTGTTTCAGCAGCCTAACAGTACTAGCTGCAAGCAGTCTCTGTTGAGCTGTTTCTCATATCTTTGGTATTTGGTTCTGCAATTTTGGTCTTCCCCTGGGCCCTGAATTTATTCGATGTACATTCTGGTCAACAAAGATTTTCTTACTGGGTATACACATGAACCATTGCAAAATTTCTTCAAGTTTGTTTTATGTTGGTATCTTTTCCATGATTTTATAGTTCACGTGTTCAAATTACCGGATTACAATTTTCAATCCTTAGCAGCACCCTTCATTAATGTTTATGTTATCCTAAACAACCTGATTACATGCCCTTTGTACATTCTGTTTTTATTCTCTTCTCATTATCTGCTGTTGAATTAAGTAATTTTACGCTTATTTATAGTCTCCTATAATCTCCATTGTGTGCATGCTGAAATAATTTGGATGTTTTGAAATTAGGACTTGTGTTGGACAATGTGAAAAATCTGGATGCGTGGGGCAAAGATGCTTTTCACACAATTTTTTATTTTTTTTTTCCAGATGGTGTCGCCATTGATTTTTTTTTTTTTTTCCAGATGGTGTCGCCATTGATGGTCCATGGCTCAAGCAAAAACCTCTTTACTTGCATTGGAAAAAATTGGATTGCCAGAGTGATTGTGGTCAAGGTTGTTGATCCCGTTCTAGTTGGCCTTTCGTTTTTATTATGGAAACAATATATTTCGATTCCAAAGCATTTTAATGTGTTGTTTCAAGTTCTATATTGTGTATCTGTGTGTGTGTGTGTGTGTGTATAATTTAAAAATATTAATTCAACATGATAAGAAAATCCAAATAAACTTTCAATTAGCAAGAGTTTAAACCTAACATCATGATGCAACAAATAAATGAACTCCACCAGACTTAAAAATTGTATGAGAGAATGACAGAAGAGGGTCTAAGACAAATTTGTTCTTTGTTGTTGCTAAAACAGAACAAACAAAAGCAAAGATGCCAATTAAAGTGTACAATGAACACTATATAATTATTTAGAGTAATCAATTTTATGAAATTAAAAAAAATATTTCATTAACAAAGTCAAAAAGAAAAACATTTTACGAACAATATATAATTATTCAAGTAATCAATTTTAACATCATGTGATGCCATTGGAACCTTCAAAATATTGAGCAAACCCCTTATCTTAGTTACTTCATTTTAAAAATAATAAATTAAAAATTTTGCTTTCTCCATGATCATGTCAACGAGTTTAATTAGGGTTCCCCCCATAGCTTGAGCAAAAGGTCCCTCGGCAAACATATCGAAAGATGATAATTCAGGTACATTGCCTCTCTCTAGAACGAAATCAACAGCTTCTTCGATTGCTCTTCTACCTTAGCATACCCCACAGAAAACAATTTTATATGTAACGACACCTAGAGCCTCAGCCTTCTCTAACATTTCTCTGAAAAGTTTCACAGCTTCTTTTGATCTCTTCTGTCCAAATCGGGCTTGAATTACAGGGTTCAGAACTATGTCTTTAATCTGAATGGTTCTTAGGAGTTTAGTTGCAACCTTAACTCTACCTGCCTTGCACTGTCCTGCAATCAGGGTCCCATATGTTACAATGTCTGCTTCACACCCATCAGAAGCCATAGTTTGCACAATATCTGCCGCCTTTTTTTATATCCCAACCTTGTAGAAGTGCGCAAGCAGGAAGTTGTAGGTGAATTTCTCAAGCCTCAACCCTTCCATTATCATCTGGTCCATCAAACGAGTAGCCACTTTGATTCTCTCGTTTTAACAAAGGCCATGAATTTCTGGAAACCCCATGGAGTTCCATCTGGTCAAAAATCTCCTTTGCTTCTGCAAGCCTTTTGTTTTCTTGCAAAAAACACCAATCAAAGTATGATAATTTATAACACTTCTTGCATAAAGACTTGCTTCCATTTCCATTTAATAAGAAATTATAAAAAAAAGAGTATTTTCCACTGCCCTAATTAAATTCATTTTTCATGACAGTAAGAAACTCAAGAATCTCATCTGCATGTGTTTGTAAATTAGGGATGGTCATCCCTAACTTAAAAATGATCGTTGTTTATAACTTCATTAAAAAAAAAAAAGCCTTAATGGAATATGTAAAACAAACCCCAAACATTTGGCCTGGAATTTAGATGGGAAAAAAGCCTTAACTTCATTCAATTATTAAACAATTAAAAAAATAAAAAAATAAATAAAAATAAGAGAAATACAAAGATAAGAGAGGGAAGTCTTAGGTTTCATTAATATTGCATGATCACTGTAATCTAAAGGAATAAATTTAATCTAAATACAAGTAAAACAAACCCCAAACATTTTGCCTGGAATTTAGATGGGAAATCCGAAATGATTCAATTATTAAACAATTAAAAAAATAAATAAATAAATAAAAATAAGAGAAATACAAAGATAAGAGAGGGAAGTCTTAGGTTTCATTAATATTACATGATCACTGTAATCTAAAGGAATAAATTTAATCTAAATACAAAGAAATAATATATAAGCTAAACTAAAAGGAAAATAAAAATATTATTCTATTCTTAATAAATAAAAAAAATAACTTATATTTTTTAACATCTTTCCTAAAACTCACAATACGACCAATACAAGTATCAAGAGTTTACAATTAGAAAACAAAAACGACAAATAAAATGTTACTTGATAAAGAAATCTACAAGATACAAAAAACAAAAAACGAAAAGGTAAAGTAAAGGCAAAGTAATGATATCATACTTGGAATGATGATGAGTAAGATGATAATCAATTTCAATGTGCTTAGTTCATTCATGAAAAACCGAGTTATGAACAATCTGAATAGAACTCTGGTTGTCACAATACATAGAAATAAAATGAAAAAAGAAAACTCTTATATATGCAAGGAACCAACATAATAAAAAAATGGCCTAGCGGTGGGAGGGGCTTGTCCCCTTATCTTTCCTAAAACTCACAATGTGACAAATACAAGTATCAAGAGTTTGCAATTAGAAAACAAAAGCGACAAATAAAATGTTGATAAAGAAATCTACAAGATACAAAAAACAAAAAACAAAAAGGCAAAGTAATGATATCATGCTTGGAATGATGATGAGTAAGATGATAATCAATTTTAATGTGCTTAGTTCATTCATGAAAAACCGAGTTATAAACAATTTGAATAGAACTCTGGTTGTCACAATACATAGAAATAAAATGAAAAAAGAACACTCTTATATATGCAAGGAACCAACATAATCAAACAATCTCTTTGGTAATAGATGTTATAACATGATATTTTATTTTAGTTTAAAATTGAGAAACAAAACATTATTTCTTGCTCTTTTAAGCAATAAAAGAGTCACCTAAAAAAAATATAGAAACTAATAACAAACTTAAAATATATAGGATTGCTCTTATGATTAACATTAGAGTATACATGCAGCTCCAATAAAGAGGAGGATAAAAGTAAAAGACTCTTAAAAACTATACCCTGAAGATATCATAAAATACAAAAAATAGTTGTCTAATGAACGATAGTAGGGGAAGCAACAAATTGACTAACAATATGAATAACATATGCAATATCCAGATGAGTAATAATGTGATATACCAAACCCTCAACAATAATACGATATAAAATAGAATATGACAAAAGTAAACCATCAAAAGAAAAATACTTAGGGTTAACTTTAATGAGAGTATCTATAGTCTTATTATTAGTGAGTCTAGCTCACTGAAAAATATGTGCAATATATTTTGATTAGGAAAGAAGATAACATCTAGGTGAGTAGGCTATCTCAATATCCAAAAAATATTGTATATAACCCAAATCCTTCATGTCAAATTGTCTAGCTAACTCTGTTTTCAAAACTAAAATACAATCAATGTCGTTACCAGTAATAATTATATCATCAATAATAAAGATAAAATGATACAACCTGTATTAATACACTTAATAAAAAAAGCAAAATCATGACTACTATAAATAAATCTAAGAAAAGAGATCATAACATAAAGTTTTTATATTTTCTTGAGCTTACAAACATACCTAAAGTCACATGAAACACTAAAAGAGGGCACCATATAAACTTTTTTTTAAAGATTTTCATTTAAAAAAATATTTTTAATGTTTTCTTAAGCTTACAAACATACCTAGAGTCATATGAAACACTAGGAGAAGGTGCCACTACTACAATAAAAATATGAATAATAATCATTTTTATAATATAAGCAAATATCTCTTCATAATTCATATCATATTATTAAGAGTATCTTTTCACAACCAACATAACTTTATATTTCTTAATAGATTCATCAAAATAAATTTTCATCTTATATACGCCATGACAATCTCAGGATTCATTCCTTACCTTGTCGATTAAGGAGGCGTGTAAAAGAATAAGCTTTTGACATAGAAGACTTCTCAGCTTTACGGACTCCTTAACAACAAAAATTTATAACAACCTTTACAACATAATTCGCTGCTGCTTCAGGAAGATAACTACCAGCCTTTAAAATATTGAATTTACATGTTGATAAGACACAAGTAATGAGATAAGATTCCAATTTAAAAATTTTATTTAAACTCTAGAGAACACATAACTCAATATATAAAAAACTACTATTTTAAGACTATTTTGTAGAATAAAACTTTCTACAAATTTGGCAGCAAATTCATTTTTTTTTCAAAACCAAACAAAAAATAAACATCCATAAAAAGATGAAATGATAAAAAGGGATTTCATAATAGTTTTAATTAAATCATTGGCCCACATTGTGGGTTAGATCAAGCTTTTTTACGGTAAAAAAAATCTAAATGTTACTAATATTTTTTTTAATAGAAAAAAATTAAAATCATATAAAAATTGATCCAATATGACTTGGTCGCCTTAGAATGTTCTAAGACAACTCAAATGATGGGTAAAAATATTTTATTAAGATGATATTGTTTTAATAAATATTGAGATAATAACATATTGAATTGATTTGGGTCAACCAGAGTTAATTTACCAATCCGTATACCAAGTCATGAGATCATAATAACCCTATAAAAAGAAAATCAAAATAAATTATGAAACTTAATTTACAATCAATCCAATATTAAAGAATAAATCCGGGAAAAAAACTATAAAAAATAACTTGAATCAACTTAAGTTAACTTATTAAACTTATATTCGAATCATGAGACTAGTACAACTTAATAGATTACAAATAAATTATGAAGTAAAATTTTTAATCAACTCAATATTAAAAAATAATTTTAAAAAAAATTGAATAAAAAAACACAAAAAGATGACTCGAATCAACTATGGTTAATATGCTAAACGTATGACTCAAGTCATAAAATAAATATAACCTCGTAAAAAAGTATACCACATTTTAAAAAAAATTAAATAAAAAAATACAAAAGGATGACTCGAATCAACTATGGTTAATATGCTAAACGTATGACTCAAGTTATAAAATAAATATAACCTCATAAAAAAGTATACCACAACAAAACATGAAGTCTAATTTTAAATCATCTTAATGTTAAAAGATAAAATAAAAAAAAATAAATTAAAAAAAGTCATATCAACTCAGGTTTACCTTTTGAACCTACAACTTAAATCATAAAACAATGATAACTTCATAAAAAGTAAATAAAAATATTATAAGGCTTCATTTTTAATATTGGATGGTTAAATTAAAATAAAAAAATAAATAAAAAACTTAAAAAAAAAACTTCTACAAAACTATTGGATGATTAAATTAAAATAAAAAAATAAAATAAAAAAATAAAAAAAAAACTTAAAAAAAAAACTTCTACAAAACTAACAAAAGGTACAGTCAAACCTTTTCCTTATTTATCATTATTTTTTTATAATTTTATTATGAGAATATATTTTCACTTTTAAAAAAACACGATGACATGGGAAAATGTGATTGCTGCAAGAATCGTCTTAACTTCCAAAAGGGTAAAACTGTCCAGGGAGATCTCTACTGTAGCGGGAATAAATCAGGAATTCTGCAGCGGAACTTGTGTTTTAACTGATTTTTATAGGTTTTCAAGAAATTTTCTTAAGATCAACGAAAAATGAGTGAAGAAACTAAATCATCAGATTTTGCATCACTTGAGACCCGACCAGGCATCTTGTTTATCGGATCCTCTAACGTTGGCAAACGCACTCTCGTCTCAAGTAACCTTCCCTTGCTCTCCCTATCTCTATTTGACTGGTTCTTCGATTATTGATTAATGAAAATTAATTGCAGGGTTGCTGTCAATTGATTTGGAAGACGCATTTGACTCATCAAACCAAGTTTTCTCACATGGGTTAATTTATCTGCTTGTTTTTCATTTTTTATGATTTTTCTTTTGCAATTATGTAGTAATGGTACTTAATGGGTTCGTTTTGGTTTTGTGAATAGATGGAGTATTAATACAAAGTATTACACAGCTGATGTTTCTCTATGGATAGCTCATCTTCATGAAGGATTTTCAATTGGATCACTTCCAATTTATAACAAGCTTGCTGCTTTGGTTATGGTTTTTGACCTGAGTGATGTTAGTAATTTAGTTTCTTTGTCCTATATTTGTGATAGTTTTTAATGCAGTGTTTAAATTGGTAGTGATGCAGATGCTGCGGTACTCAATTTGAGAAAGCCGTAAAATTTTGAATTTTGATGGAAGTCATGCTTTTTTTTGTTAGATTCAAGTGCTTAAATCTCAAATGCTTCAAAAACCCGTTTTCAGAAAGGTTTAAAGTTTCGAACTTTGATGCAAAGTAGGTTTCTTTTGTTGTTGTTGTTATTTTTAAATTGTTAAAAGTTGCGAATGCTTGAAAACCATGTTGGAGAAAGGTTTAAAGTTTCTATCTTTGATGCAGAGTTCTTTTGTTGGTTTTTATAGTTTAATTTGAAAATGTTTCATATGGAAAAGCAAGGTTCAATCTTTGATTTAAAATATGCTTCTTTTTGTTGACTTCAAGTGCTTAAACTCCAAATGCTTCAATTTGGGGAAAACTATATAGTTACAATGTTTGATGTAAAGTAATTTTTCTATTGAATTATGTGCAGTTGTCATCTTTTGTTGCACTTAAGGATTGGGTAGCTGGAAATGATATTAGCAAGTTTGAGATATTGTTGTGTATTGGAAACAAAGTTGATCGGATTCCTGGTCATCCTGTTCATGCTGAATATAGAAGACAGCTAAGGGAAATTGGAGAGTCAGGATCTTTTGATGATCTGAATATAGAGGTTGATGAGTTTGGAATTTCTGAGACTGAAGGAAGTAGTTTGTTGGGTGATGAAGAAGAGCCATCACGGGAGATCAAGAGGTCATGTATTGAATGGTGCACTGATCATGGAATTGAATACATTGAAGCTTGTGCTTCCAATGTTGATTTTGACAAATGTGAGTACCATCTATCTTCAGCTTGACTATGCAATATGTAGTTTTCCCAGGTCACAATCATGATGTCAATGCTAATCAGGCTACCTACATTTTGATATATCTATCTACCTTTTGGGGGGATAAATGGTTTAGTGGTTTATGCATGGGGTCAATAAATTTGTAGAATTTTGGATTAGGACATTCACTCTTCAATATGGATTGAAATTGAGATTTTGTAGAGAAAGATAAGTAGAAAAAGATCATGACAGGGTATTTATGGTGATTATCATTGAATTTAGTCATAGATACGAGTGATGAAAGATTAACCAGGGAATAAACAGTAGTTGTAAAGTTACAACTAATATTAAATCTGTATGCATCTCACTTTTGTTATCTAGGAGAGTTACAATGTTGTTCTCGCAGGTTTATTGGTTGATGGGGACTCACAAGGAGTAGAACGTCTATATGGTGCTCTTTCTGCTCATATGTGGCCAGGAATGATCCTGAAATCTGACAATAAGATAATCCAACCAACATTACCTGATAAAGAAGGTTTGGCACGACACCATCATTAAATCCACATTCTTTATTGTTAATTGAAATGCTAAATGAAATGTACTCATGCACCCAGAAATCTCGGAAGATGAATCTGATTATGAATTAGAGTATGAAGTACTATCTGGTGGCTCAGCTGAACCATGGGATGACACATATGGAGGATGGGTTTCTGCAAATGGTAGAACTGCCATTCCAGATGAAGGGGGATCAGTTACTGAAAATAATTATGTCAAAGAAGGTGAGAAAGAAAATAGAGAAAAGTTTGATAAAGAAGAGATGCAGCCCTCATCATCGGCAACACAATGGCAAGGTGATAAGAGAGCAGTGCCTGATGTACAAGAACCTTGTGAAAATGGAGAGTCGGATGAAGTTACGCCTTTTGACTTTGAGGATTTGGAACAGTTGATGTCTGAGATAGGGAATGTGCGTGATAACTTAAGGTTGATGCCTGATTTTCAAAGGAGGGAAATGGCTGCGAATCTGGCCATGAAAATGGCTGCCATGTTTGGAGGTGGCAGTGATGTTGATGATGAGGAAGTTGAGTGATCAGATGTATTTGCATGAACTAAGTGGTTTAATTTGTATCCTTGTGAAGTCTAGTTCGTGGTGATTTTGGGATGGTAATACGTTCAACCATCTACAAGGTAAAACTACAAGATAAAACAAATGTACTGAAATTTTGTGTTGGCCACTCGATTCCATTGGTGGATTTACTCTCCAGCTTCATAAGGTGGTTGCCGAGATGACCCATATTTTGTGCTCAATCATGTTTAGATATTGGGCGTTAGATGATCTCCCCATGTTTGTAGAAGATACGAGTCCAAGGTCTTGTCTTGTTATTATAGGAACGGAAACCTTAATTACGTGGATTGATATTCCAACACTTTTGTTGTTACAAGTAGCTAACCAGATGAATTTGGTTTCTATATTCAATTTAGGACTTGCATCAAACCCACTTCAACGCCTTAAATTTCATTTACATATCAAACCTGTGTAAGGTTGGGTTTTGTGCAGAGACATTTAAAATTTGGAAGCTTCTTTGCAGTTATTAAGGATGGCATACAGTGAGAAGATGCATGAAGAGATGACATCTTGGTAGGGTAAGTTCTTAGGAAAGGTGGCCTGGTCACTAAATTGGGTCATAAAGTGGAAACTATACAGATGTTGAAGGCTGGTCGCTTAAGCAATTGAGTTCTCTGTATCCTTCCATGCTCGTTTATTTGCCTAGGCAGTTGTTGCTTGGTCCTTTAGTGCTTTGCAATTATGCTTGGGAGAAAAAAAAAAAAAAGGCATTGCCTTTTCCTGTCAATCTTTGATGTATGAGATATTTACAATCTTTTCCTCGAAGATAACCTTGGGTTTGTGATCGACTATGATGTGAAGATGGTGTACTTTTTGTAGGACAAAAGAACAATCACCCTTAACCTCATTTGGAATATCACCATTTTCCAACCTTGGATTCATTAGAATGGATAAAATGCACAAGATAAGGGCTAAGGCATCTACTTTCTGCTTTCTCTCCTCGTCTCCTGATTTTTTTCGAATGTACCTATTCACTATATCTACCCAGGTCGAAATACAGAGAAAATGAGTAGGAAGTTTAAGAAACTGGAATTCGAAATAGATGGCAAACGGGTAGTGGATCAAGAAGAAAATAATTTATAAAGAAATTGCGAGTGCTACAACGTTTAGAAATTAGAATGCAGACAAAACATAATTAAAAAAAAATGAAGAATGAGAAAGGAAATGAAAAAGGGGGATATATAGATGCTGGATGATTGCCCATGCTAGAATCTTGATTTTTACTATAATTCATGCAAAAGTCGAAGGACGGTATCAAATTTCAATGAGCCTTTATAAGTTTTCTTGATAGAAAAGGAATCTTCACAAGCAAAAGGGTGAAAATTTGACTTGAAGTACCTCTCCTCCATTGCTAGTGGAAGTTTCAGAATCTAGACGCAGAGACAATCAAAAGGGTGATTAAAGAACTAATTAAAGAATTAAAAAAATAGTAACTCATCATATTATGGATAAGATACCCTACAATTTATTGGTTTTGATTTTCAATTGTAGTCAATTGGTTGAGTTAATAATATCTTTTGGAGTTCTGATAATCTTATCATAAAATGCACGAGATAGGCTCCTCTTGATGATGCTTAGCCAATGCTATCAGGGATTGTGACCCCGAAGGCCCCTGCTTCTGACAAAAGTAGGTTCGTTGTTTTCGGGCGTGTTTTCTCTGGAAAGGTACCCACTGGTCTGAAGGTTGGGATCATGGGACCAAACTATGTCCCTGGTGAGAAGAAGGACACCTGTATGTGAAGAGTGTGCAGAGAACCGTCATTTGGATGAGAAAGAGGCAAGAAACCGTTTAGGATGTGCCTTGTGGCAACACCATTGCCATCGGCGGTTTGGATCAGTTCATCACCAGGAATGCCACTTCAACGAACGAGAAGGAAGTTGATGCCCACCCAATTTGTGCGTGTGGCTGTCCATTGTAAGCTGGCATCTGATCTCCCCAAAGCGGTTGGCCAAGCCTGATCCCATGGTTGTCTGTTCCATCGAGGAATCTGGACGCATATCATTGCTGGAGCAGGAGAACTCCACCTTGAGATCTGTTTGTTTGAAGGATTTGCAAGAAGACTTTGTGGGCGGCATCAAGTCTGATCCTGTTGGGTCTTTCCACGAAACTGTCCAGGAGAAGTTCGGCCGTGTGGTGATGAACAAATCTCCCAACAAGCACATCCCGTCTCTACCTGGAGGCAGGGCCCATGGAAGAAGGCCTTGCTGAGGCTATTCACGTGGGCAGTATTGGTCCAAGAGACGATCCTAAGAATCGCGCCAAGATCTTGTCGGAGGGGTTTGGTTGGGACAAGCATCTTGCGAAGAAAATCTGGTGTGGTGGTCCTGAGACTACGGGACCCAACGTGGCTGTGGATATGTGTAAGGGAGTTCAGTACCCTAATGAAATCAAGGATTCTGTTGTTGCTGGGTTCCAATGGGCTTCAAAGGAAGGTGCCTAGGCTGAAGAAAACAAGAGAGGTATCTGCTTTGAAGTCTGTGATGTGGTTCTCCCTGCTGATGCCATTCACACAACCTTTGGAGGCTGGCACACAAGCAGCTCAGCTTGTTACTGATATCAGGAAACGAAAGGGCTTGAAGGAGCAGATGACACCTCTATCTGAGTTTGAGAACAAGCTATAAGCATTTTACTGTTCTTGTTGAAGCAACGTGCTTGCTCTGTTCTTTGCAGCCTCCTCATTTTGTGATGTTTTGAATTTTTGCTACTTTGGATTAGTAGTATTGGAACAGATGTCATTTTATCAGTCTCATGTTGTGATGAAGTTGGTATGCTTTAAATATTCCTGCATCAATTGGTGCGTTCCTTGATGCTTATCACATTATGAATGTGTTTGTGGTGATTATATCTGCAGTCTTTATGCTATTGGGAAGATCATATTCAGCCAATTGTGCCTTATGACCTCTGAGTTCCTTCAATTTAATGTGAATTTAAATTGTGAATTTCTTTATTTTTTCTATCCTCATTATTTTTGTAATTTTTTTATGGCTAATTAATTAAAATTTATTGAGGAAACGCAAGATCAAAAGAAAGAAAACCAGAATGAAAAAAAGAGAGGCTATTTTCAAATTAGATTAAAAAATTCACTTTAATCTTTTTATTTTTTAAATTATGAACATTACGTCCCTCAATGTATGAGTTTATCTTAACGCTTTTAATAAAAACACTTGGAGCATCAGACATGGAGTTGAATTATTATTATTTTTTATAAAAAATATATTTAGGTGCTATAAACACTTTAAAAATTTATTACTTGAGTTATAGACCTACTAGATTTAATAAATTAATTTTATTTTAATTAGATGATATAATAATAATAATAATAATAATAAATTGATCAATTAAAAAAATAATCATGATAACATGAAAAAAAATAATTCTATTCAATTTTAATCAATTAAATATGAAATGATATATTTGAATAAAAAAATGTTTAAGTTAAACCAAGTTAGTATAACAAATATGTAAATTAGATAATAAAAGGTGAACCAACTCGGATTAACCTGTGGTTTAAGTTATGAGATTAAGATAACCCAATAAAAATAAAAATAAAAAAAATTACAAAACCTTTTTTTTCCTTTTTATTCATTATAATTGCCTCTTTTTTTTTCTTACTTATTCCTTTTACAATTTCATCATTTAATATTTGATTAATTATTAATTGGGCAACGTAATTTGTTTATTTTTTTCCTAATAACTTTGATATTTTGGTAGTTCTTAATTTCTTAAGTATGTGTGTGTCTATATATATATATATATATTGAACTTAATTGAGTCAATGACTCAGACCACAAGTTTGGTTGATTAACATTGGCTTGGTAGAAATCTGACTTAACAATTTTTTTTGTTACATAAATGCTTCTCAATTTATTTAATTAAATTTATGTATAAAATTTTTGAATTTCTATAAATCTATAGATAAAATTCATGAAATTAATAAGAAAAATATTATATTAAATGCATAAGGTGAACATTTAATGTATGAAGATGATAATATTGTTAAATAATATTTATGTAGTCTTATTTATTAAAGGTAGAATAGTACTTTCAGTTTAATCTATATATATTTTATTTGTATTTAGGTTAAGGTTAAACATTCATAATATACAGATTATTCAAAATTCTAATCTCCTTTTTGTGTTTAATCTTAATAATTTTAACATGGTATCAGAGTTGGTTTTATGAAACGAAGCTTAATCCTGAACACAGTTTCGCGAATCCAACGTTAATAATTATTTGTTAAATAAAATTTTTTGGAGTGAGATTTTGTCCCCCGCTTCTGCAAAATGTGATATTTCGTCAGTTTCTGCAATTATTTTGGTATTTCGTCTTCCCTTCAGCTTTTGCAATTTGGTATTTGTGTTCAATTTCTGTAAATTTGTTTTGTGTTTTGTGTTTTGAAGTAATTGTATAATTCTGAGAAGATATTTGTTTAGTTTCTGCAATCTCTGTTCAATTTCTATAATTTGGTATTTTGTTTTCCGTTGCTTTTGCATTCTGGTTCTCTGTGATTATTGATTATGGCTACTGAAAGAGATGATT